ACTCTCTTGCTGTGAGGCGATTGTGCTACCCATTGCGCCACTGTGACGCCAAGTTGTTAACATGTTTAAAATTCAAACAAGTTATTTCAACTAATGCATTACATTAAACTGACATAAAACATGAACTTAAATATTGCATGAAGTCAATGCTTTGAAATTACTTACCAAGGTCCTGAAAGCAGCTTGGGTTTACTTGATGATCTGTTTTGATGATCCAAATGAATGAATGAATAAATAAATGAATGATAATCCATGTGAGGATTAAAAATCTATATATAAAAATCTATATATAAATATACAGTTGATGTCCAAATTATTAGCCCCTCAGAATTATTAGCCCCTGTTTTTTTCCCCCAATTTCTGTTTAACGGAGAGAAGTTTTTTTTTCAACATATTTCTTAACATAATAGTTTTAATAACTCGTTTCTAATAACTGATTTATTTTATCCTTGCCATGATGACAGTACTTAATATTTGACTAGATATTTTTCAAGACACTTCTATACAGCAGATAAGGGTAATAATATATGTGTATATATATATATATATATATATATATATATATAGCTTAAAGGGGCTAATAATTTTGACCTTAAAATGGCTTTTAAAAAATTAAAAACTGCTTTCATTCTAGCCAAAATAAAAGAAATAATACTTTCTCCAGAAGAAAAAATATTATCAGACATACTGTGAACATCATTTGAAAAATATTTTAAAAAAGAAAAACTAAATCAAAAGGGGGCTAATAATTCTGACTTCAACTATATATTCAAAATACATGTCAAATTGTATTCATCATTTACATCTGACAGTCAGATATTTGTCAGGCAATTTAAATTTCAGTGCTTTGATCATAAAACTAAGAATTTATAAAGCAGCTTTTAAGATATAATATTAAAGATAAACTCATATAGTAGTCTACAATTAAATTATCATGATAAACTATCAGAACTACAGGTTACTTTTTTTGTCAAAAACAAAACATCTAAATTAAAAAAAAAATTGTTTTGGTAAAATGTACTTGCCTCTAAACAACTTGCCTCTGGGTTTTCACCCACCATATTAGCAAAAAACCCTGATGCAACAAATGCCAAACATGATTTTGTCACATTTAATATAGGCTCGAGCTAGATTTACATATAAGATCTATAAGCATCCATACAATTTCAACTAATTGAATTAAAATATAGGCTAAACTTGTTGTTGTTGACTCTGATAAAGAAATATATTATGTTTTACTAACCATAAGTTTTTCTGTAGGCGATGCAGTGGCACCTCACAGCAAGAAGGTCGCTGGTTCGAGGCTCGGCTGGGTCAGTTGGCGTTTCTGTGTGGAGTTTGCATGTTCTCCCTGCGTTCGCATGGGTTTCCTCTGGGTGCTCCTGTTTCCCCCACAGTCCAAAGACATGCAGTACAGGTGAATTGGGTAAGCTAAACTGTCTGTAGTGTATGAGTGTTAATGAGTGTGTGTGGATGTTTCCCAGAGATGGGTTGCGGCTGGAAGGGCATCCACTGCATAAAAATGTGCAGGATTAGTTGGTGGTTCATTCCGCTGTGGCAACACCGGATTAATAAAGGGACTAAGCCGGGAAAAAAAAATGAATGAATGAATTATTATTTTTTTTCAGTAAAAATATTAATTCATTCATTTTCCTTCCGCTTAGTCTCTTTATTCACAGGGGTCACCACATCAGAATGAACCACCAACTAATCCAGCATATGTTTTACAAAGTGGATGCCCTTCACTATGCAGACACCCATACACACTCATTCACACACACACACTACAGCCAATTTAGTTCATTCAATTCACCTATAGCGCATGTGTTTAGCTCAGGGGTGTCAAACTCATTTCCTGGAGGGCCGAAGCCCTGCACAGTTTAGTTCCAACCCTGCTCCAACACACTTACCTGTAGGTTTCAAACAAGCCTGAAGGACTCAATTAGTTTGATCAGGTGTGTTTAATTAGGGTTGGAACTAAACTGTGCAGAGCTGCAGCCCTGTTTGACACCTGTGGTTTAGACCAGGGGTTCCCAAACTTTTCAGCCCGCGACCCCAAAATAACAATGCCAGTGACTCACAACCCCCCATATCCTCTGAGGTGGTTATAAATACAGAAACCTTGCATGCAATGACGCAGACACACCAATTAAATTTGTGTCAGTGCTTTAAATGTGCCAGAAAGTATAACCTGATTTTATAAAATCAAAATGCATCTGACGCTATTGCTGCCTTTAATATAATGTAATTACCCCAGGGGTCGCAATCCAATAGAACTTGTAACTATAAGCTACTATAGTAACTATATAGTATATAGTAACTATAAACGACTATTTTTATTTTCAGTATAGTTATGAATAAAATATGTTAATTCTTATGGTTTAATAAAAATAAATCGATTTTTGGAAATCACCAGGCGACCCCCCTTCATTGCCCCGCGACCCCTCGGGGGGTCCCGACCCCCACTTTGAGAACCACTGGTTTAGACTGTGGGGAAAACCTGAGCACCCGGAGGAAACCCATGTGAACACGTGGAGAACATGCAAACTCCAAACAGAACTGACCCAGCGACCTTCTTGCTGTGAGGCGACAGTGCTAACCACAGAGCCACCGTGTCGCCTCTGTTCATATATTGCCTAGTTAACTACATTCGACACAAATCATTTAATATTTGCCAAAGTAATATTTGCTTAATGATATAAACTACAATGAGTTACTCAAACTGTATTTGTCTTTTATAGCCCAAAGGCCTTTTCTCGATCTCATTTACTAGCAGTAAATATTTGAGAAAAGGGGAAGCGTGGAGGTAAATATCCACCAGATCGTTTTTTGTTTACACAGGATGCGTTGTACTGTATTCTGCTGTGCTAATTTTAGCTGTTGTATAAACTGCTGCCCTGCGTCTTGCACATGTGTATTAACACTCCACACCAATTAAAAATAGTTTCACGTGCTCAGTGAGTGTCTTGCTTTACGTGTTCCTCTGCTTTACCTTAACCGCAAGAAAAGTTGATAAGACATGAGGACATCGATGTGTGGTGTGTACTTGCAAATGTACAGTAATGCACCGGGCCGGGTCATTCCAATTCAGTTTCTAATGACACTATCACGTCTTTTTTTGAGAAAACAGCTGCTTTAGAACTTCAAATGTTCAACAACCCTAACAGTATTATATGTCTTAACAATAAAAATAAAAAAAAAAAAAAACATACTAAGACGAGGATCAAACCCGGGTCAGCGGCGTCACATTCTTTTGTGCTAAGCAAGCGGCAACCTCCCGCTCTCCCTCAGGAAGCCAATACGGAAGTAACTAAAACTGCAATTCATCTGAAATTCCGCTAGTCCTGGCCGCTCCTGGCTCCAAAACAGAGCAAATTTCAATTGAGCCCACTGTTAGAATGGCCAACTTTACAGCAGAAATAAAGGTGTTTACAGCCTGGTACAAAAAAAGGTTTTGGTTAATACAGCTAATATTACCCTTCCTGACAACTGTGAGGGGGGTGAATTTTTTTATAACTCATCCGTTTCCTTTATATTAAGTTATATTAAGTTTGCATAATTAAGGGCGTGGTCACTTGAGTGACAGCTAGGTCTCGTTGGTCGCCGTCACGTCACCTCAGCTGAATCCTGCAGATTAGCCACTGAACTCGGCATATTTATCGTATTTCTGTGTTGTTTTATGTGGCTTTACACAGTCGACTGCCTTTTGGACTTGTTTCCTACAATTATTTGATGGAATGTCATGCTGAGTGCACTTAATTGTGCTCACAAACCGTTCACGTGGCCTCCGTTTCCCATGTGAGTAAAGTTATATACTTATATACCATCTCTATACATGCATTTGTTTTATTTAAGATCATTTATCGTTTATATTTATATTTAGAGCTGTAATGCACTCCAGAATCTGTCAGATTGATTAGCTGTAGGCTCTAGAACCGTCATCTGAAGTGTTGTCATACAGTGTTATGCTGGATTTCATCAATAGTCCTGCATTTATTAACACAGACTATATCTGAAGTGTTTGGATGTAATTCGTGTTTTCCTCCTGTTGAGAAACGTCATAAGAACAATGTTTAGTAGCTCAATGTATTACAGCAGTGTTTTTAAAAGACTAAACACTTTATTGATATAGTATACAACCAAGCACAAGTGGTCAGAATACAAACGAGTCACAAGTGATAAAGTATTAAGCGTTCTCCCAAAGTAAACCAGGTGTCTGAACCAGGTCCAAGCTAAATGCAGCATGCGTCTGTAGCTCCGCTCACTCTCCGCCTCTTTGCCCATGTTTGGTATCCCGCCGTGGGTGTGATGACGCGCGAACAAAATGGCGACGGTTGGCCACGCCTACTTGTGCGCTCTTTAGAAACCTATGGGTGATGTCACGGATACTACGTCCATATATTTTACAGTCTATGGTGCTAACCGCTGGACCACAACAGCTGAATATTGAAAGGTGACTCATCTACTCATGAGTTATATCATCATTAACCTGCAGGCTGGTTGTATATAAAAAGAGTAGAGCTGCAGTAAAATAATGAATAAGAAGAATGTGGTCAAGTAAATAAATAAATTAATTTAAAAAGTGTGAGATTCTGGAGCTAGGGACACCGGCCCTCGCGGCCAAAAAACGGACCGGCCCACCGGGAATTCTCCCGGTCCTCCCGATTAGCCAATCCGGGCCTGGTAATGCACATGAAATACTTGATTCAAATGATAAGATTTTGAGATGGATTATTATAGAGTGTACGTCAAAGGCTACCACGTGGCTCTTTGAGAGTAAAAAAGTCTAATAAAGCAAAATGAACTAACTTGAAGATCTTTAGCAAATGGATCTCATTTCAAGAAAATTAAAGAATGAATGAAAACACTAAGTCCAATTTAGCTTAATTTACCTATAGCACATGTCTTTGGACTGTGGGGAGCACCCAGAGAAAATCCATGTAAACCCTGGGAAAACATGCAAACTCCACACAGAAATGCCAACTGACCCAGCCGGGGCTTGAACCAGCGACCTTCTTGCCGTAAGGCTATCCACTGCGCCACCGTGACGGCCCGTATCTGTAGATTTTAATATACAAATGACATAATACACACATCAATGACAGTGAGTCCAAGCCATTGGTCACTGTAGCATCACTCATAGAAATATTCTCCATATTTGTTTACAAATAAATACTGATTGTTAACAATTGCATTTATGTACCGTGTGTAAACAACTTATTTTATGGACTTCACCATGTCATTTACTCTTGAGCACTCAAAGGTTAATTCAGGAAGTCTGTAGTCTGTATATAGGGCTCCTATATGGAGAGTCTGTTTCCACAGCCCCCTTTAAAAAGATCCATTAGTTCCTTTCTGAATTTCTCTGACATGAAAACATAGAGAATGGGATTGGCCACAGTTGAAGACGTGGCCATGATGCGAGCAAATGTGGCAAACGGTCCTAACTGAGATAAAGGACCAGTCGCTTTGTCACTCTCAGCCATCTGAGCAAACATCAACCCATATGACGGCAGCCAACACACTGTAAACGCCAGCACTAACAGAGCAGACGTTTGGGTCACGTGCACATGGTAGTGCTCCAGTCGGTCAGTGGTTTGAGTTGTGCGACTCCGTCTAGTGATCTTCAAGAAGTGATATATCTTGGCGTAAGCTATTACGATGATCCCAAGTGGAAATGCAAAAGCCAGTAGGAAGTGGCACACGCCGTAAGCCAACTGGCCTGAGTCCGAAAGGAAATTAAAGCATGCCAAGTCCTCGCGAGATTCACGGTCGTCCACTCCTGAAATCAGCGTCCTCCAAGCAAATTGAGGCGATGCCAAGATAATGGCTGGTATCCACAGTACACCAGCGATCACTTTCATACGGCCCTCTCTACGCCATCGGTACGCTTTTGACTGATGAACCACAATAACGTATCGAGCGAAGGCCAAAGCGGACAAAGTAAAGGCGCTTGCAGCCGTACACATGGCACTAAGGAAGCTCACAGACTTGCACATGAAGCTTCCAAATGGCCAGTGACGGGTTGCAATGGCAACCGTGTGATAAGGGAGACAGCAAAGCAGGAGAAGATCCGCCACACTTAAAGACAGAAGAAGAACATCCGTCCCGTTTGCATTGGTTTGTTGGAGTCCTCCTGTCCGTCCTCCGCTGGGCTGTCCATGTCCTTTGCGCATCATTCTACTGATGACAATGAGAACTAAGACGTGTCCGATTACTCCAGTCACCAGGATGAAGCTGTCGAATATGGGAACCAACACTCGCTCAACATCACTCAGTCCAGGACTGGAACTGTTTGACTCGGACATGTTAACCATGGTGGAGTGTCCAAGAATCCTGTGTAATATTGAATAGGATTAGTTCTTTAATCCAACACTGTTACCAACTTTGGTAAATGACACAGTATTTAACTGTATTATGAACTGTATTTGACAGTTATGTGGTATGTTACTGTATTTTAAAGTTGCATTGTGAAAACTACACTGTAAAACCCGAAAAGTTAATGTAACTAAAACCATTTGATGAAAACCGATTGCAACAAATTTGAAGCTTTAAACAAATTTTAAATTTTAAACAAAATTTAAGTTCAAAAACTAATCCTAAAGAGAACTGTGAACTTAATCCATTTGAGTAAATAAAGCAATTTGAGCACAGTAAAACCCAATAAATGAATATAACTCAAACCAACTGAGTGCTGTAAAACCCTATAAATTCAGGCAACTCAAACCATTTGAGGAAACCGATTGCAACAAACCATTTGAGTTTAAAAAACTATCTACCGTTTTTTTTAAACTATCAAGGCTTTTTATCTATCTAAAAACTATCTATCTAAATCTACAGTATATTAGTACTGTGAACTTGCTCCATTTAAGTTGAAGTAATGAGGTATTTAATTAACCCATTACCTTCAACACTGAGTTCAAAACTCTTTTTACAGTTTTTCCAATTGTTTACACTCAAATACTTGTACTTCAGACACAATGACTACAACATGTAACTGATGCACCAACCCCCTGAACCAATTCTGCTAAACTACAAGCACAATTCCTGCTTTACACTCAAATTGCAGGTTTAAAACACACTTTTTTTTCAAAACACAACACAATTCTCTGCATTTTGCACAATTTTCATGCAGAAAACCTTTTGTTTTTACAAGGAACACACTGTCATTCACATTTGTAAAGTCAGTTGTCCTACTTTGCATACTAACTCATCACATGAGTAAACACCTTTCACACAGAATTGCAATTTAGAAATCAGAGCTCATCTGGTTCACAAATAGTTTACTGCCCACCCATGTTTTTAGTTGTTTATCTCCCTCCATATTATGCATTCCTCAAACCTATTGAGGAATTGTTTTTCTGCCTGGAGATGGAATGACCGAAATCTACACACGCGCACACGTATACCCCTTCTCCAAGCTATAGCAGTTGATGCTTTTCGTGGCTGGATTCGCCTTGCAAAGTGACGTTTCCCCCACTGCTTGGCCAGACCAAAACAGAAAAGCAGATGGAGTATAGCTGTTTTTTATTTGTATTTTTTATTTTATTTTTTTACTGTGACTGTATTCAGTAAATACTAATAATTGCTGTTCTGTTGATGGTTTATGTAGATCACGATATCTGCAACTTTGTGTTGGTTGGGATGAACACTGTGTACACTGTATTTGTAGGGAAAATACAGTAAAATATATAAAACTGTAAATGAGTAGAATTAACTTTCAGTAAATTTTGAGTATACTTTACAGCAAATTTCTGGAGTTGAAAAATTAGGAGTTAGGAAAAAAGTGTGAAAGAGTTCAATTTTCGGAGTTTATTTTAAAACTCTAACGAAATTTTGTGATGTGGGATACATCCTGCTTTGCTGTATTTTGGAGTTCATTTGTTGGTGTTCAGAACGTGCTTTAAGTTCATATTTGGAGTTACTCTACATTTTTAGACAGTCCGCCATTACACAACCCTGCTGAGCAGCACAAGGGAACTGGAGTTGTGTTCGTTGTGAGGTAGTGCGTTGTTATACAATTCTAAAAGCTTTTTCGAAATGTTGGATATTTTGTGACAGAAATGTGTTTTGCTGTAGCTGTTTTGTTTTGTACTGTGACGCTAGTAACTGCTTGTGGCAAACTTAGCATCTAGCAAAAGTTAGCTTTTTTCAATGTGTCTCTTTTGTGGAGTATTTTTTTAAAATGTTGTGAAAGTGAACAAGCTAACACTAGCTAATCATCTTTCCTCTCCTTGTGTTTCTGAAAATGTGTGTTCTGCTGTCAAAAAGAAGCGCTACATGATCAGATGAAAAAACCTGCTGTTCACTTTTTAAATAGGCTAACTTACACAACGAGGAAGCGTTAATATCTTTTATCCAGCAACACAGCTTTATGTCTCTGTGATTTAATACGTGTAATATTGCTCTTGGAATGTTTTGAATTGTAACATGATTTATTCGTGACCGTGAGATGCTGTTTTCAACTATGTATTACATTTTCAATCACACTAACATTAGTTGTTAAATACCTCTAAGAAGTGTTACATTTTAACATTGGTAAGGAGTTCATATCATACTCAAATGTACTCTCTGTAAGATTACAATTTTAACTCCAGAAAGTGTTAAAACTCTAAAAGCAGTGAGATTTTAACTCTGTAGGGGAGTAAATTTGATGGCCACGCATGTACACTCAGATTGAATTGATTTTTAAATTCCAGGGAGTTTATTCCAAAGACCAGAATATGCTCTGTAGTTTTCAATTACATGTACACACAGACATCCCCTACACACTATATAACCAGTGCTTAATTTGTAAATAAATAATTCCCAGAACATCCACCACTCAAAGTTTTCCCACAACAGACGTCCTTAAAAGAGCATCACATTTCTGAACGGTCTTTGATTATTTTGTGCCATATATCGTTATAGGTCAGTCAAGGATAATAAAAACATGTAGCTACAAACATAAATCATATAAACAATCACTATTCAGTTCACTTTACTAAAAAAATATAATAATTACATTACTCACTAAGTCAAATCTTTAAGAAGAACCCACAGTTACCTCTTCTGTCATATTTACTGGTTGACTTGAGATTGCTTTGCTTCTGTCTCCCGCTATCCTGATCCATGTGCAGTTTCATCTCCTCAAGATCTCTTTTGATCAGGCTCATTGTCAGATTTGGTCACACTTTATTTTGATGATCGGTTTGTTGATTTTAGTTACATTGCATCTACATGCCAATTAATTCTCATTAGATTAGTAGACTGTTAGGTTGGGGTTAGAGTTAGTATAAGTTGACATGTACTTGCAAAGTTTCTTAAAGTCAGTTAAATGTCTGTTGAAGAAGCAGTATCAACAGATATTAAGCAGACAGTCTACTAATACTCAAATAGACCATAATAATAAAGTGTTACCTCAGATTTACTGGTGGTTTTAATAAATGAAAACATGCTTGCCTTTTTTAATTTTTAAAATCACTGAGAGTGATTCACCAGGGGCCCCCAGTAACCCCTGCAGGGGCCCCCCGCATTTTGCGCTACGCCACTGACTATGCCATTATTTATTTTCATTGCTCACTGCCCGCGAAACAATCACCAACCAATGAGAGTGATTGTAAAGATAAGAAAGCAGATTGGTTGAAAATATTGTTGAGGGCCAATAGTGAAACGTAACTTTGCTTTAACTTTCGCATGGTGACTACCATCAATCCACACTTGCACTCATTCACATTTTCTCTCTCTCTTTCTCTCACACACACGAATGCACGCACGCACACACTCACACGCACACACTCACACTCACACACGCACACGCACACACACACACACACACACACACACACACACACACACACACACACACACACAAACACATATGTAGGTATTCACAATTTTGATTGTGAATCAAAGATTGCACAAGTTAATGCCGGATCCATCAAAATAAATAGCAAAATGCAAAGCACGAATATCTGACATTTTCTAAAACAGGATCCAGCAAGATCTGGCTAAATTTAAGCACTGTATATAACTACAGGTTAACTATGTTTATATATAATAAAACTAACTGTTAAAAGCTATTATTTACTAGTTGATTAGTTAAAGTTATTAGTAAATAATGAAGTATGATAACTAATAATCTTAGCTTTTCTGATTTTGATTGTACTGTAATGCAATTATGTGCACCTTTAAAAAGCGCTATACAAATAAACTTAAATTGAATTTTACATAAAGATAAACAATACTGTAAATACATATACAGCAATACTTAATTCATCTTAATTTCTATCGTGTACAATTTACAATACAATTTACACCGTAGATTGTGCCAAAGCAGCTTAACATAGAAGTTCTAGTCAAAAACTTAAAACTGTGTCAGTCCAGTTTTCAGAGTTGAAGTTCAGTTTAGTTCAGTTCAGCATGCTTTAATTTTTACTGCTGTAAGTCCAAACACTGAAGAGCAAATCCAATGAAGATAAATGGTGGTGTAAATACAGTATTTATACTGTAACTGATTTACTGTTGATTTTACAGAACATTGTTAACAGTATTATATTTATGTATCTCCACAGGAGGTTTTAGAATTTTTAGATGGATGCTTTGAATTGAAACAAATTGTTCTTTCAGTAATATTAATTAAAAAATGTCTTTAATGTTCTCAACATCTTAGCTCACAAACTTTATTTAGACGTCATTTGTAGATTGTTTGTGAATGTTTATAATGCTTTAGGTTTTGTTTTTTCAGAGAACTTTTAAAAGCACTGTAACTTTTTCAGTAGGTTTGCAATATGATAGAATGGACTGTTCTTTTAATATCCATACGAGCAAGAAAAAACTGGATAAGGGAAAGGTTATACAATTTTCATAACGTAATGGTAATGATAGCAAAGCATTCTTAGAAACGAAATGGTTCTTTTAGCAGCATACTCACTTGAAATTTTCACCCTTACAGCAAAAACATTTGAGATTTTTTCTCAGACTTTACAAAAGTGTGCAAACTATTTTTTTCAGCAATCCTTATTTTGGTTATAGACCGTATATCCTTATGCATTCTTGTAGAACAGTGTGACGCCCAGCGTTGATCATACTGTACAGCAGTCTTGATGAAAGGCTCTGGAATGCATCATAAGTTAATGATTGCAGCAGACCTAAAAGCCACGAAATCCTGCTGTTGGTTTGCAGCGGTTTTCTCTGGGTAAAGCAAAATATTCCTTGATGACATTGTTTAATCGTCTTTCCACAGATATCTCTATATCGTCTATGACAGATTTGAGGCAAAAACTCTTGCAGTTGTACTCAGAAGATTGAAGATTCGTTCAACGGTTTTGCTGAATTCTTCAGATAACTGGAAGATGATTTGAATAAATTCAGCATCGGTGAGCTCAGTAATCCAGAGCGTCAATCTGCTGCCATTATTCAAAAGATCTGGAGTGCGAAGCTCTGCTTCAAATGCAAACTTCAACAGCCGGATAAAGGCAAGTCAATGTCCTTTGACCTGACAGCAGTGACGCAGCTCCTATAAACACAGAGCTCTGTTTAACCACTCATTTAGTCAATAGAGAAAACCTTCAACTCCTCTCAGTAGTTTCTTTCTATCCCAGGCTGTTTTAACCTGGAATCTGATTGCCTTGCAATTTAAAAAAAATACATTTGTAGTGTCCAAAAATTTTTATTCTGCCATTATTTTACTTACTCCCATGTCATTTTATACTTTGCCATCTATGAAGCACAAAGGAGCTATACAGGGTGCGCCATTTAGATACACCTTAATAAAGCGGGAATGGTTGGTGATATTAATGTTCTGTTTGTGGTAAATTAGTATATGTGAGGGGGCTGGTAAATAACTCGTGAAAGAAGAAATTTACGTTAAAACCTAGCACTCTATTGCCTTTTTTTTTTTTTTTTGGTGAAATTCCCAATAAGTTTATTAAGATGTATCCATATAAATGGCCCACCCTTTAGTTTGAACAGTTTTTGGTTATATAATAACAATTAAAGGGGTTCAGAACGCTTTTTATGACCAAAATAAACAGACATTTAAACAAATATCTTCTTGTGTTCTGCAAAATAATAATAATAATAATAAATGAATGAATGAATGAATAATAATAATAATAATAATAATAATAATAAATGAATGAATAATAATAATAATAATAATAATAAATGGTTTGGGGTGAAGCAGTGGCGCAGTAGGTAGTGTTGTTGCCTCACAGCAAGAAGGTCACTGGGTCGCTGGTTCGAGCCTCGGCTCAGTTGGCATTTCTGTGTGGAGTTTGCATGTTCTCCCTGCGTTCGCGTGCATGGTTTCCTCCGGGTGCTCTGGTTTCCCTCACAGTTTAAAGACATGCGGTACAGGTGAATTGGGTAGGCTAAATTGTCCGTAGTGTATAAGTGTGTGTGATGAATAAGTTGGCGGTTCATTCCGTTGTGGTGACCCCGGATTAATAAAGGGACTAAGCCGACAAGAAAATGAATGAATGAATAAATGGTTTGGAATTAAATGAGGGTGAATAACTAACAGTGTAAAAAGTTATAAGTTCACCTTACTTAAATGAACTCTGTGCTTATACATTTTAGGTAAAGTCAACAGTTCTATGTTATTATGGGTTTACTCACTTTTTTAAGTAAAGCACAAATCCCTTTTTACAGTGAATGAACACTGTAAAAAAATTCAGATTTTCAAAACGTTACTGAATTTTTCACAGTAAATTACATTGGTATCATATTACAGGATTTAACTGTAAATATTCACAGTAACATGCGGTATTCAGAATTTTATTGTGAAATTATCAAATTAGCATGATTTCAGCAAATTACTGTACAAAGGGCTATATATTTTGCATTTTAGTTACAGGAATTCAAACTCTTTTTTATTTTATTCAACATAGATATTAAATTAACATTTATGTTAGTGTTGGCAATTGTTTGATATTTATAAATAACACAATGTTATTGCAGACCCAAAAACTATTTGGTTACATCTTCAAAAATAACTCATCCTGTTTTGAAATGACATGAATCTCATTGTAAATTTTCATTTTTGGGTGCACTGCATCTTTATTTCATTTTATAAGGTTAACATGGAAATATGAAATAATTTTTTAATGAACATAACTTTGTACTTAGCCAAAAACATCATACACTGGAACAAAAGTAATTGATTTATAAAACCAAACACTGTTAAAGACCCAAAATGATTTCAAAGTCAGGGTAAATGTCAGAATGACTAGCTGAGAAAAGCCTGCTTCACCGTAAAATATAGTTAATTCTACAAGATAATACTGTGAAATCACAGTAATGGACTTTATTATCCACTGTAAAGCTACACTATATGGCTGTAATTTCACAGAAATTGAATATAACAAAATTAAAAATAATAAAAATATAATATAATAAAAATAAGAATATAATAAAAATACAGTAAATATGAACTAGCTCACAGTAATTAGTTGTGAACTTACATACAGTATTTTACTGTGAAAGTAATGCAATTATTAGCCAGTAATTTACAGTGAATTTAAGCTCAATTTCTTTACAGTGCATACTTTACTTTTTGGTTAATCATTCCTCTAATAACTACTGAAAACATGAGTTACATAAGCTTGAATTTATGTCAGGTTCCTTTAGGGTGTTACAGAAAGTCATAAACTTACGTGATCTGAAAGTATAAACGACATGGGCAAAGGGCAAAACAAACAGATAAAGTGACCCATGGGTAATTTAGATTGTCTGAGTACCTGCTGACTCATAAATACCCTCATTATTATCTCCTTGAGGACTTAGCTTAATCCAATGAATCACCATGACTTGGTTTATGACAAAGCTTGCTCGATGTTGAAGCATGTTGTCCATTTGCCTGTTCTAGTCAGCACACGTCTGATGAAGGGAAGATGATTGATCAACAAAACAGTTTGTATATTGACTAAAACCTTAAATTAGTTTCCCAAATTCACTGGTGTTTTTGCATGTGTTTACATTTTCAAATAGCAATTTGGGACTTTTATTATGGGTTTTGATATATTATCTGGACTGGTCAGGTTTGGGTATCAAAAAAGGGTAATAAGATGCCAGTATTTTTTTATTTCTATGTTTACTTATATACAGTGGGGGAAATAAGTATTGAATATGTCATGTTTTTATTTTCTTTATTTTTTTATTTTAAAATTCATCTAAAGAAGTTGTTTATTTGAACCAGATTTTGGTAAAAACCCAAACAATTTCAAGCATAAAAAAAAAATCTGCAGTAATTAGTTATGTGTAATAATGAAATGACACAAGCAGAAAGTGCTGAAACTTATTTAACACATTATAAAAGGCTTTTTTGGTAATGACTACTTAAGGACGCCTCATATAGAATGAAGTCACATGCATTGTTCAGGTGTGAGTTTTTCACAGACTTCAACAAAGTGTACAAATTTGGATGGTTCTGTGTGTATCCTCTATTAAATCTGATATTTATTGTGTATTCTCTATTGGATTTAAGTCAGGTGATTGGCTGGGCCAATCTACAGCTTGATTTTCTTTCTCTGAAAGCATTTGAGAACTTTCTTGCCTGTGTTTTTGCTGAAATGTCCACTCTGGTTTTATCTTCATCCTCTTGCTAATGTAGATGTTGGACTGAAGCAGCGAATATTAATTTCCACAGAGGAAGGACAGAAAGTTGCTGAAGAACTATTCAATTCAATTCAATTCAGCTTTATTTGTATAGCGCTTTTACAATGTAGATTGTGTCAAAGCAGCTTCACATAAATGGTCATAGTAACTGGAACAGTGTGGTTCAGGTTTTAGTGTTTAAGTTCAGTTCAGTTCAGTTTAGCTCAGTTCAGTGTGATTTAATCATTACTGAGAGTTCAAACACTGAAGAGCAAACACTACTGAGCGATGTCAGCTGCTGTCTGGGCTTTTACTGCTTTTTAACACCTCCCTTTCTGTTAAAATGCTAATTAATATTGTTTAGTTTGCACATATGGACTTTGTTGGTTGCTATCAACATCTGGTGAAAATTTTAGGTCAACAGCACTTTTAGAAATGTGTTTTCTGAGAAAAATGGTGACGTGTTCAATACTAATTTCCCTTGCTGTATATGATTTGTTCTAAACAGTTTTGAACAACTAAAATATCAATAAAAGTCACTCTTCTAATGTTGAATTACATTTTCAACATCAAAAGTTTAGGAGCAAAGATCAAAATCCAATAATGCAATTTTGAAAATGCAATTAAATCTTAAACATCCTAAACATGCAACTGTTAATCAGCTGATTATTTTTACAGTGTTGATAGATTCCTTTAAGGGTTTTATCAATAAAACTTGTCTGATTTTTGCAACACAGACTCATTCTGAAAACGTAACCCTATACGGCAGAAGTACTTATGGTTGCATTTTGGCTTTATAAAACAAACACTACGGACCGGTATGATGTCGTTCCTTTTCATGCTTACTAGCTGACCAAACCAAATCAAGACAAAAGACAAGAAGCCAAAAAATGAGAATAAACAAGCAAATAACAGGGTGAGAATGTGGTCAAATCTGAAAATCAGGAAAGACCTATTCTTTTTCTGGATTGATTTTGAAAACACTGCCGGTTGGGTTTAGGGAAGTAGGTGTACAGGTCAATTGGTGCTTTTGAAAACATTATCGTTTGTGTTTAGGGAAGGTGGAGGGTAAGTTAGTCGATCGGTCAGTCACTCATTTAGTCGATAGTGACCTCTGGTGGATTTACGCGAGAACAGCAGGCATGAATGGCACTCGCGAGACAAATTTGAAATCTCAAAAAGCGTACACAGCTTTGCCGAGAATCTGGTGGATTCGCAAATATGTACCCCCTGGGACAAATTTGGCGCTCTGCAGAAATGTACATAGCGGTACATTTTCAGAATAAGCCTGGGTTAGACTTTTGTTAGGGAAATGTTTGTAAAATTAAAAGACAATAGTGACAATGTACTTTCTATGGGTAATGACACCAAAAATAACATCAGAAAAAAACGTCAATATTAATTTATTTTAAATAGTTTACAGATTGCAAAAAAATCCTTATAGACATTTACTGCTTTATATTCCTAATTTCCAAATATACTGTATTTAAATTATTTGATTACTATTATATAAGCCTTGAAAGTATGGCTTTTTATGGCTTTTAAATTTTTTTTCAGAATTATTTAGAATTGTATTATGTAAATTTTTTTCAGTTTTATTCAGAATTGTATTATGTTAATTCAGACTTTGATTGTGTTCAATTGAATTGCAGATAGGTCTGTAGTATACATATTTTATATCATAGTATGACATCAGAGTTTAATGGAAAGAAATATTTATTTGATCAAATTGCAATCCCAAAGCGCACATCAAACAAAGTGTAGAAAGCTCTCGTTCTAACACATTGTCTTTCTGCACTGTCCGAGTCTTTCTTTTTGAACTCTACATCTTAGTGACAGTGAAATCAGAAACATCTCCCTTCATCACAGCCTGGAACGAGACCAGCCAACATCTGATAACCGGAGCTGAAAGAAGCCTGTAGTCTTTGACATCCTCCCTGCAGACATTCATAGACATTTATAGTATACATATATAGAAGAAAACAGCAGCAGGGTGTTTATTTTTCATCACTTACAAGTCTGCCTTCACTTCCTGGTTATTTATCTTCAAACTCGGCGGTTGTGATCCTTGAATCTCATCATATGAAGCATCAGATTTCCCTACAAATATTCACATTGTTTGGGATTTAATAATTACAGAACAGCAACAGAACAATATGTCATTCAACGGGAAACTGCTGATACATTTAAAGTGCTCCATTTTGTGTTGATTGTTTCATCACGATACAAAATAATATTGATACTCTTAGCCAGCGATATGATATTTTTGGATGCTTATTCTGCAA